AACCCTGTTGACAGCCCGGATTTGCTGACGAGCAATCAACTGTTGTACAAGAGATAAAATGTTAGAGATAAAGTGCAGCAGCTCAGGAGTGAAAGAGGCTCTGTCTGTGGGACTGCACTGTCCTGCTGAAGGAGGGCAGAATTTGGGGCTGGGACAAATGAAGATCCACTTTTATTCCCTGTTGGACTCGTTAGGAGAAGTGCCTCTGATTGCAGCTGAACTTGGACCTCTTTCTCCTTCCCTTCTAATCGTTTCATAACCAGGTTCAGACTCATCCAGCTCTAATTTCATGTACTTGCAAAGTCTGACTCAGCAATAAATGTTATCAGCTTCCACTCAAACCTGCAGAAAATGGGGAAAAAAGTCAACCTTCCCACAAAAGACATCAAATGGGAGCTCTGTCTTGCTGAGTCAGGCCCTGAGCGTGCCTGGACCCTCATTGTTTTGAAACTTAGAAGACAGTCCACAAGCCTTGCAATAGATAAGCGTGTGGTTCATTGGATACAATAAAACTTCAGACAGTGCTGAGTGGGAAAAAACTGCAAATGTGTTGATATTTGGGGCAAAGTTTATTAAACGTTTAATTTCAAAGGAAATTTAAAGTAAAGCCTTGCAGAATGCTCAAATATTTCCATGCACTCCGAGCCCCTCAAAGGAATTGAGTGTCCTTGTTCAGTTTCTGTCAGTGGAAATGATGTTTTTACTGACTGGCGGCTTTCAAAACACAAGTTATTGCAAATATTTTGTCTCTGCATGTTTTCCAGAAACAACCTCATGTTTTTAAACATCGAGCTTGTAACTTCCTAAGTTCACAGATTTCACGATAAGGTTTGTACTCAGAGAAAACAAGTTGCTCCACCACCAGTGTTGAGCATCCTTCAAGGCAGATGATTTTGCCACACCGACTGTCCCTCTGTGAGGGGAGCAACTGAGCCTCTGCCGAGGCTGCCAAGTCCTGCAGAGACAGAAAATGTGGAAATCCCTCTGCTGACACTGCCCTGCCTCCAGCAACACAAATTAAACAGTGATTCACCTGCTCGCTCCCAGCACGGTGGTCCCCGGGGAAGGAGGCACCTTGCTAGGACTTAAGCCATAAAAACAGGGATTTACAGATCAGTATCAGCAGCCACGAGTTGTACCTGGAAGCAAAATTCTCAGCTATTTATTCCTGCTGCACACACAAAGCTGTGAGAGGGAGAACCAGAGCAGTTTCCTCTCAGTTAGAGAGGATGAGCGGGGACTCTGAGCTCTGTGTGTCTCCTGGCCACGCACTTGCTGGGGATTTTGGTAAATCATTCAATCTTTGCCTTAGTTTTCCCATCTGTAGAGCCACACACGTACTATTTAGCATTTTGTTCTGGATGGAGGGCGGCGTGAGAGCTAAAATATTGTTGCTTTTGCCTCAGACTTCAACAAATCTGCTGGTGTCCCTGAAGCTTTGCAAGTGAGGATGGAGGAGTGTGGGGAGGGCAGCGGGTGCATCGCTGCTGCCTCGGGCACAGTGCTCTGCAGGAGAGTCCCCGGGGATGGTGGCTGCAGTCCTCATCCTGTCCCTGGTTATGTAAGGAGGTGACACTGCTTGGAAACCCAAGCTGTCCCTCTGCATTTCAGGTAACGTTCATGGAGAGCTGGGCATTGAAGTCATGGACACAACCACAGCTCTTCCTGGGGTATTTATACACTTTTCACCAGAAACAAAAAAGCCCTGAAATTTATTAACTGTTGACATTAGCTTTTCTTGAGTGTGTATTTTACAGCTGAATTATGGTTGAAGATGGGGCTGAGGAAACCATCTAACAGATCACGAGACCTCGTGCAGTGTGACTGCACTGAACTTCTGACCTGCTCCTCTCTGTGTGGCTGCTGTCACTCCCAAACCCTCAGCCACACAAACCCACCACTGGCACATACATGTGCTATTTCCTCCTCCTGCACTTTGCCTGTTTCTTCTTGGTTACAGATGTATTTCACGTCAACGTTACGGTTCTTTATTCTCTATGGTTTTTTAATCGCACTATTAAATGCTGTGTTTCAAGAAACGCTTTTTAAGGGGCGAAGGTGATGTGATGCTGGTCCTGAGCCCCGCAGCAGTGATGTGTTAGTGCTTGGTGACCTCAAAGCTGCTGCTTCTCTTGTCTTGTCCCCTCTGTGCCCTGTGCAGCATCATCCTCTCCATATGGGAACACTCTCAGCCCAGTGATCCGCTCGGTCCCTGCTCTGTTTGCCGTCACCTGGTGACACTCTTGTCTCCATCTGTCCCTCGGTTGGGTGGTGAAGGGCAAGGAGAGGCCACGGCCAGGAGCTGCCAGGGCTCCCCTCGGGGGTCACCTTCACCTGAGGGAGGATGGGGACACCGGGGGGTGTCATAGAATCACTGAGAAAAAAACCTCTGAGATTATCGAGTCCAACCTGTGTCCCATCCCCACCTTGTCCCCCAGCCCAGAGCACTGAGTGCCACGTCCAGTCCTTCCTTGGACACCTCCAGGGATGGGGACTCCCCCACCTCCCCGGGCAGCCCCTTCCAATGTCTAATCACCCTCTCCACGAAGAAATTCTTCCCGACGTCCAACCTAAACCTCCCCTGGTGCAGCTTAAGCCTGTGTCCTCTCGTCCTGTCTGTTGTTCCCTGGGAGCA